GGGTTTCCAAGGCTGCGGAGGAGCCATGGGGAAGCACGAGGAAGCGAACGCTGGGCTGGTGGGTGCACCGCAGCACTGCACCCATGGGCATTCAGCCGGGTGTTGCTGCTGTTGAGCCGGAGATGCAGGAGAGAAGGGAATAAGGGGGGAACGCAACGCTCCGCTGCCCTGTCAGAGCGATCCGGTATGGATGAGCTGCACCCGAGCAATCCCTTTCCATACTTGCTTTGTTACTTGGAAGGGGGTGATGGCAAAAGCGGCCGTCAAGGGACCAAGCGCAGCCGCTCAGCCCTGCTCCGAGCCTTTTCCCGCTGGCAAAGCCGGGGCTGGGAACCCCTGGGGGAAAGGCCAGCTGGGGGCTGCGGAGCGGGTCCCACAGCACCCCGCACACTGTCCCGAGCTGTGGGCGGCACAGAGGGTCCCTGGCACGGGCGCTGCTTCCCGGGCCACGCTCACGTGCCGGAGCTGAGCCCGGGCTGCCGGCACCGCCTCCCGCCACAGCCCTAACCACAGCACTTCAGCACACGCTGAAAACCCCCTTGTTTCACATTGCTGGGATTCGCCGGAGCCAAGGGACACGCTCTGCATCCCGCCTTCCCGCGGCATCCCAAAGGAGCCACGGCACCCACACAAACCCTCCCTCCCGAGCTCCTCAAAAGCTGGGAAGTGCCGAGCTGGGGATTACAGACCATATAGTTATAAACATCCTCCAGCTCTACCCTGCTTTATCCTAGCAGGGAGATCTAAAATTTCCCTTTCTGAAAGTCCTGCGCTACGATCCATCTCCAAAGCGAGTTTAATTCCCGGAGATTTCTATTTCTCTGGCAGCTGCTGTGCTGGGAAAGAGCAGGAGCTGCTGCTGGTGGGACCGAAGCAGGGGCCTTCCTGGCCCCCTGGGACATGCCGGGATGGGGATCCCGGCACCGGCTCCACATCCAGGTCCAGCCCTTCTGGTGCTCTGACCATCCGAAGCACGGACTGCAATGGGACACGAGGCAAAGGGAGCTGAGCTGTTATGGATAACACTAACAAAAGCACATTTCCAATGGAGCCGTGGAGCAGAGGCAGCTCCGAGCTCCTCCATGCTCATCTTGGAAAGGCATCCAGGGTTCGACCTTGTTCCGAGGAGGCTCGTGCTGCTGTGCTCGTCCTCGAGCCGAGCTGTGATCCCAGGTGGGGTTTCACCCCAATGGACACCCCTGCCACAGACCCTAAAGCCACCAAGGGCATCCCCAGGGCAGCTGCTCCAAACCCGGGAAGCAGCTCTGTGCATCTGGAATGCTCCCCACAGCACAAGGACACCCTGCCCCGGCTTCCCAAAAACGCAGCAGAAATCCTTTTTCCCAATCCCATTTTATTCCCAGGAGTACAAAACCGAAAGGACAGTTCCCATTCACAGACTGGCCCCAAGCGTGCGGCAGGGACATCGGCTCCGGCCAGTATCTCAAATCCCAAGGGACAGTGGTGCAAAGGGGCGAGTGGGGCAGGTCAAAGCGCATCGCCCCCATCCCCGATGGAAAAACGCCCATTGGAAAGCGTCCCATTTCCACGGGGCCCCCACAGAAGCGAAGCACCTCCCGGGCAGCTCTCCAAGCCGTCCGCATTCCCGCATTCCTCCCGCTTTTACACGGGCAGCGCCGGCCCCGGGAGCGAGCGAGGGAGCCCCTGGCCCGTGCACCACCCCCTGGGCGGGAGGAGAAAAAACACAACAGAAAGAAAAACACACACAAAAAAAACACCATTTCAAGGGCCATTAAACACAGTGATATTTTCCTTGCGACATATTGCAAGAGAAGGAAAAAAAAAAAAAAAAAAAAAAAAAGCTATGCCAAAGCTCAAGGCTGAGCGGCCAAATCCGCCCGGCTGCTCCAGCAGCTCCCTGCTCCCCAGCACGGGATCGGGCCACGCAGGGGGACGGAATGCGCAGCGGCCAGCCTGGGATCCGCGACGGGCGGAGCGCTCCCAGGCAGCCGATTCCTCCCGGGCGGAACCCGCGGGCTCAGCAGAAACGCGGTTTTGCCATTAAAAGTGCGTCCGCGCCGGGGTTCTGCTGGCGCAGCCAAGTTATCCCTCGCGGGGGGGATTCAACACCAGGTCAGCAGGGTATGTATCGCTCCAGCCCCTTTGCCTGGGCGCTTCCCATTTCCCAAGGCTCTTTTCCATGGGAGAGGGCGAGGGGCTGCGACCCCAGCACTGCAGAGCCGAGCCTGCCGCCACTCCGGACACCTCCGTGCTCGCTCTGCACCGGGAGCGGGAACTCGTTCTGCTTTTATAATTATTTTAAGACTGGGGGGCTCTGGATGGGGACAGTATTTGCTCCAATGCAGACCACCCCACCCACCACCCACCCCTGCAGCCCTTTTGCCGCTCGGAGCCTTATTCACCGCCTTGCCGAAAGCACAAGGGGACGGATACCGGGACACCGGGACACTCATTTCCCTATTGCCCGAAGGAGGTGGGACGGGGGCCAAAGCAAAAAGGCCCCTTGAATTGAGGCGGGGGGCTCTGGAGAAGAGCGAGCGGCCGCATCCATCCCGGCCTCTCCCGCGCTGGGAATCCGCCGTCTCCCGGGAACAAACCCCACGGCAACCGGCCGCTTTTCCACAATCCCCCAGCCCCATCCGCGCTCCCGCTCCTGCCTCCAACAAAAGGCTCCTGTCCCCCTCCCTGCGCCGCCCCCAATCCCGGGAAGGGGCAGCCCCTGCAAACGGCCCCAGCCCGCCAAGGGCTTACGGGAAAAACAAGCAGCCAAAGCTGGCGATAACTGGAGCCTCAAATATGGCAAACGGCCTTTTTTTTTTTTTTTTTTTTTTTTTTTTTTTTTTTTTTTTTACAGGGGAGTATTTATTTTAGGAGGAGGCTGGGACGGGTTCAACAGTCCCTTCCTTCAGCCTGGCGGTATTTAAAGGTTGGAACGGGCTCTATTTAAAGGCTTCGCCTCCTGCCCTTCTTTTTATTTCTCCCTTAACTCTTTGCGCAAGGCTTCGCTTCCAGCCCTCAAAATAGAAGAAATTAAAAAGGGAGGGAAAAAAAAAATCACACACAAACAACAAAAAAAAAAAATCACACAAAAAAAAAACCTCCTACCACAACCAAACAAGAAATGCAAACCTACAAAAAGCCCTTCGGTAGCAGGAAGCAATCATCATTTCAATTGATATTGTTAAAGCCGTAAAAAAAAAAAAAAAATCCCTGCCCACCACCCGCCCTGGGATAATGGGAGTTTCAACTGCTAATTGTACGGAGCTCTTTTGGTGCAGTTTATTTTAGCGCCGCAAATTATGGCGCCCATCACGCAAGGGAGCGCGGCGGGCTCGGGAAGGCTGCGGAACGAGGAAAAAGGGGAATGGTGTTTAAAAAAAAAAAAATTGGAGGGATTTGCAAGAGGGGCACTCAGCAGAGCCAGATCCCAGTGCCGCTCCCAGCCCCAGGGTTGCGGCGCGGCTGGGAAAGCTTGGGAAGGGCAGCGGGAGCAGCGGCCGCTCGCAGAACTCGGCGCTCACCGAGAAGAGCCGCGAAAAATAAGTTTTTTTTTTTTTTAAGCAATAAAAATTTTAATTAAAAAGAGAAAAAAAAGAAAAACACACAACCCTCAGCAACCCCCACCAGCTTTGCCTTGAGATTGTCCAGACACATTTTTGGAGAGCTTGCGTTCTGCCTTTAGCAGGAGATGGGGGAGGAGGGGAAAAAAAAAGGGGGGTAAAATAAAAAGGAGGACAAAAGGGAAGAAAGGTGTTCGCCCATGTGCTCGGCTGCATGGCTTTTCGTTTTACACCTCTTCTTTTCGCACCTGGGAAATTGGCACTGCCACCTAGTCTAAAACTAATAAATCTTTCCCCGGGTCCGGCTGCTTCCTTCCCCGCAGATGTTGGCAATCAGGTTTGGGAATTTCAAAGCCATTCGGTGCGGGCGGTTGGGCGCAAAGCAGGTTTATTATTGCAAAACCTGTCACCCTCCCAACGCCTAAAGTAAACTCCGAGTCACCTCTCCACGCCCAGGGGAAAGCCAGCGGGTGAGAAGGAGAAAAAAAATTAAAAAATAAAAATAATTAAAAAAAAAAAAAAAAAAGGAGGGAAGAGAGGGAAAGCAAAATTAAATATATCTCTATCAAGGGGGCAGAAAGCCCTGTGTTCTCGCAGCCGGAGCGATGGGTGTTTTGCAGCTGCGGGGAACGGCTTTGCCTCCCGCCCTGCTCCGCTCCCCGGGCCGCGGCGCTTTCTGGAACCAGCGAAAAAATAAAAAAGCACTCAAAAAAAAAAGTAATTTAAATAAACAAACAAAAAGATGAACAAAAAGCTGACAGGGTTTTTTTTTCTCTTCAAAACACACATTTCCAAGCCCGCCTTTTTTTCCCCCCCCCCCCCCCTCTCTTTCTTCCCCTCTCCATGCACGGCAGTCATGGGACTGCTTAAGGTTGGAGCGCAACGAGAAAACAAAATTCCGCCGAGGGAGCAGGCAAAACGCGCAAGTTTTGTCTGCGGATTTTGCAATAGTCATTGCCAAGAGAAAGGAGAAGAGGGTAAAAATAACAACAGCAGCAAAAATAATAAGCATCGAAAGAGAGCAACCCAGCTGGGATCGGCACTTCTGCCTCCCGAGCACTTCCCGCAGAGCCCCAATTCCCCCGATTCGCCCCAAATTCCCCGTTTCGCCTCTCGGAGCGGGCACCGCGCCCCGCGCAGAGCCTTCCCCCACACACATCCCGGCAATCGAGGCACCCCGCTCCCCTAACCCGAAAAAAATTTAAAAAAGAGAATAAATAAATAAAAATAAAACGCGATTTTATTCCTCTTCTCCGCGGGAGGAAAGGAAGAGGCTCGGAGGAACCGCGGGCGCGCAGCGATTTTTCCCCATTTCTCCTTCCCTGATACGAGCCGAGTGAGGCGCGCAGGAGCGAATTTTGGGGCAAAATAGCAGAAAAAAAAAAAAAAAAGCGAGGATTTTTTTTTTTTGTTGGGGGGGGGGGGGGGGTTAGAGGGTCGCGCTCCGCGGATCCTTACCGGGGTGCGAGTGGAGGCTGATGCCCGAGGCGAGGAACTTGCCGGGCGGCAGCGCGGCCGGCAGCCCCGCGGCGAGCGGCCCGGCGGCGGGGGCCAGGCGGCCGGCGGCGGGGGCCAGCCGGTGGCTCTCCATGGCCAGCGCCGAGAGCAGCGGCGGGGGACCGTGCACCGAGCGGGGGGGCCCGAAATCTCGGCCATCCATCATCCACCCGCCGCCTTCGAGGAGTCCTCCGGGATCGCAGGCGGGGCCCCCTCTTCTCCTCCGTCCCCCGCCGTTGTTGGGGAGGGGGGTTGTGGGGGTTTGTAGTTTTTAAGGAAAAAAAAATGAAAAATAAAAATCAGAGGCTCGGCAAAAATAAGGCGTCCAGGCGTCCCATGGCGCGGTGCAGGGAGCCGGCCCCGGCGCGGCGGTCTCGGCGCTGCCTGCAAGAGAGACGGGGCGGGCGTGAGCCGCGGAGCGCAGGGAAAGAGCTGAGGCAGCGCGATATATACATAAATATATATTTATACACTATATATATATACACACACTCACACATGTGTGTTTTATATATATATATATATAAAGCGATATAAAAAGATATTAAAAAGCGATAATAAAATGCAGGATTACACCGGCAAAGCGGGACCCGCAGCCCGCAAAGCGCGACGCCCCGACGGCAGCGGCTGGGAGGGTATTCGTGAGCCGACAGCGGAGGAAAGGAAGAAAATAACCCGAAGGAGGAAAAAAAAAAAAAAAAGATTTTTCTTTTTCGTATTTTTTTTCTTTTTCCTCGGGTCGGGGGGGCTTTAGTCCCACTTCGAGCTGCTCCTCCGCGGGCTGCTGGCCCCAGCGCCCCGTCGGGGGATCGGGCTCGGCGGCTCCGCTGCCCGCGCTCCGCTCTCGGCTCCGCCGCCGCTCTGCGTGGCTCTAAAGCAGAACATTTCGCAGCTGCCTTTATTTTTTTTCCTCTTCCCTCCTCCACCTTACTGGAAATATATACATATACACATATGTAGTTTTAGATTTTTTTATATATATATGTATATATAGAGAGACGTATCCAGCCCACAAGGACCCGGTCCCGGTGGCGGGGCGGGTGGCAGCGCTGTCCCGGGCGCGCAGCGCGGCTCCCTGCCCGCTGCCGCCGCGCCGAAAAACAGGCGCAAAAAGATTAAAAATGCAAGGAAATTAAAACCGAGGAAAGAATAAAAGCCAAGCAGCGAAACGGACACCCCACCACCTCGGTGCTTTTAATCCCGGAGCAGGAGCCGCGCGCGCTGGGGGGCGCGGGCGTAGGGGGAAGTTTGGCCGGCGGGAAAGGCGCTTTTGGGGGAAAAAATCCAGGCTTTGGGTGTTTGCGCGTGCTGGAGGAGGGGGGGGAGAGGCAGCCCGCGCGCCCGCCCGCCCCGCCGTCCTACCTGGG